GTCGAATTTCTTTACCCAGAACTTCAAGGGACCAGCAACAAAATCAAGATAGGGAAGGGAAACAAACATTTTTGAAGAAGGAAAAGCAAGAGAAATTACAGTAAATTGTAATTGGTGATATTCTGGGCCTTACCTCGCTTTCTAAATGAGCTGAAGTAGAAGGAAAGGGTTCATTTGTCCGATTAACCTTTCCCTTCCTTTCAAAACACGCCAACATACATTTTTATTGCTTTCCTCTTTCCTGTGTCAATAAAATAATAGCCAGAAGGCCTCCAAAAAATTCCAGTTATGGAGGTTTGAGGGGAAAAGCCTTCAAATTGGGTTGTTTTCATCTCAGGGGAATTGCGACACAGGAATATTTTCGAATTCAGGAATTTAGTTATCGAGGTTCAACTGTAATAACTTATGAAGGTTCATCTAATTTAGTAAACTTTAGACTTCAAAAAGCAAGCCCTACATCACAGTTCAAAACTTTCAAATTTGTGGTAGATATACCATTGTTATTGAATAAAGAGATTTCCAGATTATAAGCGACAGAATCCACGAACTTGAAGTCTGGTTAGTGATCGATGTTTTTTCTACTATGTCCATAACTTACGCTACATCCAGCCGAGGGCTTACCGTAAATTTCAATCGAAGAAATCAAGCATAGGAAAATTAATCAGGAAGTAATCATGCAGAAATTACCCCTAGCAACTCAGAATGAAAGGCTTAGTGGCGAGTATGAGTCACAGCCTTAAAAAAAAGAACAAAAGGAAGACTTCGGACAGGTAATGTTAGAAACTGAAAATTACTCTTTCAACTTGAAATTGGATGCAGAATGAACTTGTTCCACTGCGTAACATCATCTCAATGCAACACATCTGTTCATGCGACTTGAAGTTTGTGCGGTAAGTCTCGAATAACATGAAATACTTCACAGCCAACTAAAAGCTACATTAGATTCAGGTATTAAAAGTCCAGCGGAATACGCTCCTCACATACTATACATGCTCACAGCGATAACAAAAAAAGAGAGCTGATTCTGTCCTAAAGCGAGAATTCGAGTCAGTACCTCGACAAACAACAACGAAATAAAGTAATTTCAAGCGTCACCGCAATTCAATATAAACGTCAACGACTCATACAATGGAACAAAACACTCATTCCTACAATATAAGACATCCAATTCCGTCGAGGCATACATTACAAAGCTGGAGCGATCTATAAGAACGAGGAATTGACTCTTCAAGAAAGGCGAAGATAGCTGTAATTATCGGTTATCCGACCCCTGTGTAGAAATTAATTACTTCATTTGAGGCTTTTTAATATCGTATCGTATGTGAACGTCCGCAAGATTTCAGTCTCCAGCCCAGGGGTTCATCCCGAATATATTTCCGTCTTCCTGGCAAAGAGCCAAGATCAGGCGAATATATAAAACCCACGGTATTCGAGGTCGTCCCTGGAGTTTCCTTCTCCACCCCGAGTTACTTTTATGACGCAGCAATGTTCTTTCGGACGATGAAAACATAAAACAAGGAGATAACGAATTGGCATCAAATCACGTTGGAAAAAAGGAGAAAATTATTCGCTCCTCTTAATTAGCTTTGACACTGCGCTCATACGAAGAAAATTATTTCCTCCTCCTAATTAGTTTGTACACTACGTTCACCGTATAATCAATCACCTATGAATGTTCACAAAATATTATAAGGCGATTCAGAGCCATGCCATGAAAAGCTACCATCATACATTGGAATCTCTTATTTCATAATTGATCGCGTTCTTCATAACGCAGTGATCACAAATGAAAGTTATTTTCGACAAGGGCTAATCCTAATATACAGCGGTAACTTTTCCTTGATTGTCGAAATAAAAATCCTGTATACACTATAAATTTCAAGCGGCCTCGCCTCAAATCGCTAAATCAGCAACAAAAAAAACAAAAAAAATTATGCTTTGGTAAAATAAAATTATAGGAAATTTAATTGGTGTTATTCTGGGCCTTAAATTGTTTCACAAATGAGTTGACAGGATGCTGAACTTGGAGCCAAGGTTCTATTTGCCAAATTTTGTCTTTCCTTTCCTTTTAAACCACATCCAGTCAGATTTTACTGCTTTCCTCTCTCCTGTGTACAGTATATAAAATAATCGCCAAAAGGTCTCCGAAGAATCTGAGTCACGGAGGTTTGCGGAGGAAAACAATCCAGTTTTCCAAGAGAATCCAGACAGGAACATAGAAATTTCGACATAGGGAGGTTTGAGTTACCCACATTAAACTTCAATTGGATTTATACAGCGTAATCCTGTCAAGTTGTTTCTTTTCACAGGAGCTAGAACAGTATTGATCGGGGCTCATGGAAGCGTACGAATTTCTCTCACCATATTTCGCAAAATGGGTGGTACCCTTTTTTGAAATGAGAGGGTTGGGAAACGGATAGACAAAGCGAGTCACATCTGCCTTGCTAACAATCCCGTTCGTGACGAATCACGATAACATTGGCGTGGGAGTCGCACATGTTCCAAGTGTTCCACAATACCCCCCCCCCCCCCCCCCTTCCTCACAGACATTGCATACTGAACAGTACTTACATAATAATGTCGCTTTGTTGCATAAATCTGAGTACAACACAAATTCAGGTTGTTGCTGCGGACGAGTCACGATGGTCGCGATTAGGCTAACAAGAAAGCGAGCAACGCACAGGAGTGGTGAACGCAAGTCACTCGCAGTTGCTCCGCGGCGAATGTTCACATCACGGAGAGACGAATTCTCAGTGGCAAGGAGCGGAAAAACTTTCCCTGGTCCTTCTTCACAAGAACCGATCACCCTCAGACACAGGGCACTTACACACACACACAACCACTCATACGCGAAGCACACACACTGACACATAAGAACACCGTACGACGACCCCGAAATCGTAAGCACACGTTGGGGGAGCCATAGCAGCTTGTTTCCTATGGATTCCACATTCACTTTATCCGGCACTAACACGCAGGCGTCCGTGGAGCTCACAGGGAATCGACGAAGTGGAACGCGACTTCCCGCGTCCGGCAAACACTCAGGAATGCTTGCCAGCTGATGGAGGACTCAGGGGGTGATCCAGAAACTGCTCGGATTGCGCGGGAAACCGCTCGATGAGGCAGCGGCTGACAGAACGGCGCGTAAAGGGGGTAAGGAGCATCAAAGACGGTAACAGCCTTAAAGTTCCCACACGAATTTCCAGTGACGAAATAATAAATCGTGTAGAATCTATAGAAGCGTCAAATGTTACGAAGAGAGCAGCATCCTGGCGGATTCAGTCGCATCTATAATTATTTCCTCACGAAGCAAAATCATTCATTACAGGCAAGTCCGGATTTATTCCTTACACAGTCGTAACCTCTGCTAGAAGGATCTCTATACAATACTGCCCTTTGATGATCAGTGGACGACTTTTTTCCTAGCGTCTTGTCAATGTGGTTCTTTTCCATTAGTTCTCTCTTGTCTGTTTCGTTCTGCCATCATTAACATGATCCGAATAATACAATTACGAATAGCTTCGAAGTCGAAACACAACTCGTTCTGTATCTGTACAGTAATTTGAAGATCGAAATGATCGAATTTGAGTGAGGCTCAAGATTAGGAAAATAAAATGTACACTAGTGCACGAATTTAAAAACCGTGGCATCTCCTGTAAGGTCAAAAGCTAGCACGCCTGAAGAAAGGAAAAAACACGAAATTAAGAAATTGAAGCTCAGGCCATAGACTAACTGATGTCGGACTTCGTGTCTCAAATGACATTGGATCAAGAAGCACTAAAAAAATGACACAGTTGACCCTTAATAACTCGAACCTCCATAATAAGTCGGCTACTTACCTTCGTCGAATTCCGAGTCCCTCTCTGAGTCCCATAGAAACAACGCATTACAAACATCCCTCTCAAAGGTTTTACCCATCAAACCTACCCAACTCGACTTTTCGGTGGCCTTTTGACCATTATTTTGCTGACACAGGAGAGAGAAAAGGAAATTTTTTTAAACTTGATGTGTTCTGAAAGGAAGTGTAAGACTAAATTGGGAAAATAACCCCACGCCTTCAAGTTTGGCATTATCCTGTCAACTCATTCAAGAAGAAAGCCAGATACAATTCCCTACAATTCTTCTTTCACTTCCCCAACAAAAATGCTTGCAGCCTCAACTCGAATTTTTTGCTAGCCCTTGAAGTTCGACTTCAATGTGTTCGACTATTGCTCCAAGAAGAAAGTTGCTACGCTATCTTCTGGAAGGTTTGATCAAATATTTTAGTTTAGGCACGCTTGACTAAAATTTCCCAAGTTTCATTTTCTCGTTGTCTAAAAATCTATGTGATACTCGACAATTAAAAAATTATAATATATCTACTTGTCGGCTCATCCCTTATTTTCATCCATGATTCATCAAATGGTTGACGTTTACCTGCGCCTTTTCATTTTAAAAGTCGAAGTAGTCTGCCGAACAACCTATTAGTGATCAGTTACATTCTTCATCGATGACATTTGAGAAAATCATTTTCATTGTCATCTAAAAACGACAGAAGAAGGGCGACATGCGCACGAAAAGTTTTCTGTGCACTATTGAATCCTCCAAATGGTGACAATGGGGTTCGATTTCCGATAAGCGCGAAAAACAATCCAGAATTCCGTGAAGTGTTCATACGAAGTAAATGCAGTATTTTTTCAAATAAAAAAAATGTGTTACTAATATCCCTAAGATTTTTGCTTGAACACAAACGTGTTCCACTTTCCATTCTATCCACTTTTCACGCATCGCACTTCGTGAAATCGGCATTTACATGGTGCTCCTTGCTCATATCACCGCAATCATAGTTTTGAAAGATTCGTAGGACAGCAATTTATACATCGCTAACATCGTCAAGCTCAGCAATTGCTCCAACGACGGACATTGTTGATTTAGCGTTGAACAATCACACCATACATGAAGCGATCAAGGCCTGAATATGCCCAGTCCAAACGCAGTACAGTAGGAAGAAAGAACACCAGTTTCATGGACGCATTTAAATATACTCACATAAACGCAAAACTCGAAGCTTTGGACGGCGGTACGGCACAGGTGGAATCAAAAAATATCCGCGGACCAGCCATGAGGAATGTCGCAGGATATTATGGGGATAAATGAATATCCAAATCCGCATAAAATTAGTTCACTGTCTTTCAACACTTCCACGCGATTTATGATGTGCGTTAGTTCGTTAGATATTCAAAACGCGATGCGGCTCAACCACTCATAACATGACGGACGAATTCTTCGTAATGTATATTTCCTTGTCCATCTTCGTGTCCCGCAAGTAGTTGTTCTACTTCTTCGTCGGCCAATTTTTCCCCTAGGAAAGTTAGAAGAAGCTCAGCAACCATAGAACCTCACAGCAAAAAGCGTGAAACAAGAATTTCCTTTACCCAATGTAGTGAGAAGATGGCGCAGTTCGGCTGAGGAAATGAAACCGTTGCCATCTTTGTCAAAATGCCTCAATCCTTCAATGAAATCCTCGGCAGTTTCTGTACCGCGGTTTTTGTTAATGGCTTGCAAGATTGGAAGAAATACTTCGAAACTGATGCGATCCTCTAATGGAAAGATCCATTCATAGCAATTACAACTCAAATCATCGAAAATTTGAAAGAAAAAAAAACGAACCCGGCTTATGTTGATTTGTCAGCTTCTTGACGTCGGACTCCGTGGGATTCTGTCCCATGGCCCGTAAGACATCACCCACTTGACTCACAAAAATGTTTCCATCTCCACGATTGTCAAACAGCTGGAAAGCTTCTTGAAAGTCTGAGTAAGAATGAAGACTATTTCAACACAAAATAATTACTGTAACTATTCACTGCCAGAAAAACCGCGCTGGTAGGACTAAGGACTGAATCCACGAAACAGCTACATAGCTCATGTTGAAGGATTATCCTATTGCTTTCATGTGCTGTCAGCCAGATTTCAAGAAAGACCTGTACTTCCGAAATTGGCACCTTCTGCTTCTGCAACATTGGCATTAGCACAAAATTACAGAAACCTTAGTGGATTCTTTTACTAAAGATTCCAACAAATCGTGAAATATTACAAGGAGTGGGACAGCCAGACGGAGTCCTATTTGATCTACAGTACTTTAGTTTCACATGCGGAACGCAGGAAATCTAGATATTTCTCAGCTTTTTAATATTTTAGGTACATTTTTAAAATATTGTTGTTCTTTCTCCCATTAGACAGTAAGAAAAATACATCTGAAAGCACACCTGGAACACATATGTTGAACTTAAATCAGAGATTAAGTCATCATCTGTTTATTGCCCTGTATGAGGAAATTTTTAAAATTTGAGCACAGAAAATGTTTATTGAATGTTCTGCTAATTCAAGCATCACAGCCGGAAGTCCAAAAACTTTCCGAAGGCAATTCTTTGCATGGTGTCAACTGAGCAATAAAAGCAATGCAAAAACCCTGATACCCATGACCTTAAATGAAGCTGTTATACAGGTAAGAATGAAGTCAGCACTGGCACATCTTGGCTGTGGCACATTCGTTCTCTCATCGATAAATTAAATGTATTCGCTTTTTGAAGAGCTGAAACACTGCAGAATTTCCTGAATGAAACAATGATAGGAAAATATGTACAGCACTAAATTATATTTTCAGCAATGAACCGATTAATTATTCTCAGAATTAAGATATGATTTTCCATTTATTAAGATGTTCATGTCACTGAAAGTAGAAGTTGCACACACAAGGAGGAGTATTTGAAGCTGAAAATTATGATCTACTTGAGATCATCCATAATCCGCGGACAGTTCATGAGTTTGTCCAGGATAATGGAAAACAAAGAACTGAAAAAATTAAAAATACCCAATATGGCAATATTGAAAAATTTGCCAATGAAAAAGCAAGAAAAATTCCTCACTGAAAAACTTCCCTCTTATTGACAGTGAAACTCTACCTGTTCAAGAAGTTGCCTATTATTTCATAATTCCCCCTTCCATATAATACATGAATATTATTCTTGTTGAAAATATGATTTTATTTCCTGGGAGGCGCCATATTGGTGCTTGCACGAAGTCCTAACATTTCCCAGCTCCGTGCCTGGTAACTAATACGCACCAGCCAGTTGGTCTTCCGTATATCCAGCCTAAATGTAAAAGAAAAAAACGGTAAAAATTCATTATCCTCCCAAAAATCAAGTACTGAAAGAAAACTCGACGGCAAATACTCACAACCATGTTCCTGCAGGACGTGCAAAAGATTTTCGCCGCAAAACCAAAAGAAACCTTTTTCTTCTAGAGATAACCTGCGAACAAAGCCCAAGCAGCAGAAAAAATCATCATTTATATCAAACGTCCTGATTCGAGTAAACAGTGTGAGCTTCATTATTTTCGCCGCAAAACCAAAAGAAACCTTTTTCTTCTAGAGATAACCTGCGAACAAAGCCCAAGCAGCAGAAAAAAATCATCATTTATATCAAACGTCCTGATTCGAGTAAACAGTGTGAGCTTCATAACACTTCCCCATTCTCCATGTCACGCATAAGATCACACTTCTTCACGAGAACAAAAAACTGCATATTTGGCTTTTCCAATACACACGAAAAACAAACCACGTTTATGAAAAAGAGACGTAATTTTGGACATATTCAAAGAGCACGGCACACAGCAATATGCGCGTATCTGCGAACATTTTCGTACAGCTGCCACAGTCAACTCAGGAATCCACAGCATGCACTCCCGAAGTCCTCCTTCCCTCTCCATCTCTCACCTGTGCAGTCGAATGGTTGCTTCATGCCTCACAGCGTTACCAATGTGCTTACTTCCTCGCTCACTCTAGCTATGCTGGTAACACGTGCATGGCAACATTGGAGCAACGCCGTATACGAAGACTAGAGCATTCTTCTCACGTTGCACGACAGACGGCAAGGTGAGATGGCTTCAGGTGACGCAATCCTGCGATCTGAGAACACCTGTAATGGACTGTCCCACGCTCTCAGAAAAACTTCGTTCATCTCAACCCGGGTATTTTTTTTTATGGAACTACTGTGCAAGGTTTTTTAATTCTAATGCATAAAAAGCTAATTCAACATTTTACCCACCAACTTTTCAACTGAAATCTTCAAGGAAGATAACAATCCCCTTTAGAGTGAGATTCAAGAAAACAATGTAAATAAAAATAAGTGCTTATGACGGTACAGTAATGCCTCACTTGATAGACAGTACATATTAACAAAAAGACCGAAATCCAACAGGTTTACGAAATACAGTAAAAGTAAGAACAGTAAATTCCAAGTACAGCTCGGTTACAGGACCCCAAACGTACACCAATGTGAAGCTTTAATCAATGACTTATCCACTTCACAAACCGATGGAACTGGCTTCATAAATTATTGAATCATAAGGTATATTGAATAATAGCAGCTCCACGTACGTGAAAAAATAAAAAGGAACCCACAAAGAAAAGGAAAACTGCTCAACACTTCAAGAATACAGGTGGACTTTCAAGGGACCAGATGAACAAATTACAAGTTTCAAGGGACCAGATGAAAAGTTCGCCACTACAACAAAAATATCGAGAAGAGAGAATTGTGTTGCCAAGACCCCCTTATATATGGGGAGAAGATTCTTTTGGGCAAAACATACGGTGTACAGACAAAATCGTTGTGGAGAGGGTCCACCTGCCTGTACAGTATTACTACAGCTTCTATGCAATAGGAAATATCAAGCAAAGTCGTGAGCCACATTAGAAATGTCAGTTTTTATGGAGTTCATTAACTTCATTATCCAAACAAGAATCGTTTGCTGTCTTAGACTATTGAGCAAGGTGTTCACTACCCGAATTAACATTTTTCAGATGATATTCTCGAAGTTAAAAAAAAATTATTTTATGATGATGGGAAAATGACCTCTGGTTCAGATGAGAGAATATTTCAAGGCAAAATAGGGAATCTTTAATAACGTGCAAGAAGTTGAATAATCTCTCGACTCAGATGAATTATTTTGAAAAAACGAAGGATCATAGGGACATAAACACGTCAATCTGACTGGAAGCCGAAAATAAGTTAACGTCGCAAAATCATCATCTTCACACCATGCGCATTAATGAAGTATCGACAGGTCGAAAATGGCTGGTTTTCTGAATCGACGGCAGCTTCATTTTCAGCAACTGCACTTCCAGAAATAAAATAAAAAATGAATCACGGGAAATGAAAGCACGCCTTCACGGTCGGCCAAACCATGACTCGCCATAAGTGGACTTGTTAGCCGGTTTAAGCCCCCTGTGTACTTCGCCATGCATGTTGTATCGTTTGTGAAGCTCTAGTGAATTGTTCGCGTAAAAGCGGACTTTAAGTTTGCTAAACGACAAGGACCAGGAAATTCCGTATCTTTTGCAATATTTCCTTCTTGATTTCCGGAGTCACGGCTCCGCGACCCATCGGTGTGATTTCAGTCACCAGGTCGTCCACAGTGACGTTGTCGACGCCTTTTGTCTTGACGATTTCTCGAGCATGAGAGCGAACCTTCTCGTGCCATCCGCACTCGTTCAGCCGTTTCCGTAGAAGCTCTTTCAATCGTTCCTTCTCCCCCGTGTCGATCATTTTTTGATTCAGCAATGCGCGCACCTGATTCTCGCGCGTTTTTTCGTCCATGATACTACGAGCTACACTGAATTCAACGTAAACCTCAGCTAGGGGCTTTCGTCAATCCCTGAAAACGCAGACAAAATGTTCTGCCTTCGTTAAAATTTCACGAATAGAAATTGAAATTCGAGAGATTCCAACGATGAGTCTTTTAATTGCGACATCCCTGTATGACTGAAACACGTCACAATAACTAGGAGCTCGCAGCGATGTCTAAGCAGCGGTAAGCCGCTAAGCAACCTTTCGAACAGACTTCGGCCACGGAATAACTCCGTTGCCAAGGAACACATGAACGGCGTAGGCAAAACACGGAGAGTTGGCAACAAATATCCAGGTTAGCCATGAATACCGATCAACAGTGCATGTCGTGTGCAAAATTTTCGTTTCATCGCTGAAGTGGAAAGCGGACATGGTGAATTCTGACCATCATGTCGTGGCTGCAAGACGCCAGCAATAACGGACCGCCTAAGGAATCCTGCTCTGGAGGTTCAGGTTTCCAGCACAGTCGTTTGACCAGGTCACAGTGCGCTTGTCTTGATAGGAAATGGGATAAAATGGTCATTAATACGTGGAATGTTGTGAGGAAATGCTACACACGAGGGTTTGTTCTTAAGTTATGACAAGAAAATAATTTCTTGACCAAACTTCTAATTTCTTGTTCGCATTCACAAGTAGTCAAAGCCTTTCTAAAACAGCGAAGTGATTCAAATACAGTATTTCCTTCTAATAATTTTTTTTTAGCGCAATATCTTTCGTCCGGAGAACAGGGCTCCCATGAGTAAGCGATCTCGGCGAGTATGTTATTTCGACTGCGAATGCTGCCCTGAAATTTTAATTGGTCTGCGATTTCCAAAAATCGTCATGAAATAAAAGGGGAGCTTACTCTCTATTATTGATAGAAAAGTTTCTTTGAGGATTCTGAATAACAAACGTGAATACAGGTAATCTACAAAATTAGTAAAATCAAGACAAAACGTTAGAACCTTCTTCAGCATCTGAATTTCAACTCACCCTTGATCTAATGTATATAGGTGATTTTGACCAGGTCACAGTGCGCTTGTCTTGATAGGAAATGGGATAAAATGGTCATTAATACGTGGAATGTTGTGAGGAAATGCTACACACGAGGGTTTGTTCTTAAGTTATGACAAGAAAATAATTTCCTGACCAAACTTCTAATTTCTTGTTCGCATTCACAAGTAGTCAAAGCCTTTCTAAAACAGCGAAGTGATTCAAATACAGTATTTCCTTCTAATAATTTTTTTTTTAGCGCAATATCTTTCGTCCGGAGAACAGGGCTCCCATGAGAAAGCGATCTCGGCGTGTATGTTATTTCGACTGCGAATGCTGCCCTGAAATTTTAATTGGTCTGCGATTTCCAAAAATCGTCATGAAATAAAAGGGGAGCTTACTCTCTATTATTGATAGAAAAGTTTTTTTGAGGATTCTGAATAACAAACGTGAATACAGGTAATCTACAAAATTAGTAAAATCAAGACAAAACGTTAGAACCTTCTTCAGCATCTGAATTTCAACTCACCCTTGATCTAATGTATATAGGTGAGACCAATCAATATCACCAGACGATTCATTTGTCCAAGAGTAGAAGAGAATTTCGCCTGTTTCCAACCCGAACGCCAAAACGTAAGCATCATCAGAAAACTTCCTCGGGGCGACTGCGACACTGTTGATTGATTCCTTCAACTGTAAAACCGAAGAGGCCCTCTCCGGATCAGAGTTATCTTGGATTTCCTCTCTGAATTCAGGTCGTTTCCATACGACGGCTCGTTTATCCCTCGACACCGTAACAAAATACTTCGAATCGGGAGTCCAATCACAAGCCCAGATAATTCTAGAATGTACTACTTTTGGTTTGTTGGTCATCTTCGCGGTTAGTTTGAGATCATTACCTGTGAATATTTCCAAAAGTTTGCATCAAACACCGCCCAGTTCACACGAATCAATTCCAAAATTCCTACATCCAATTGAAGAAAACAAGCACCAAGATCGATCTCTTGACACCGACAACAGGGACAGACCATCAGGTGAAAACAAAAGCTGGGTAATTGTAAGCGTGTGACCGGAAAGCCATTGTTTCACAGTCCATGACTTGGTGTCCCTTCAGAGAAACGAGGAGAATTCATAAACGCAATACGAATCATTTTCAAGATCTGACAAACATACCAAATCGCGATTCGAGAATGTTCTGGTTGTGAGGCCTTGCAGGCAGATGCCACTCGAGTTCCATCCGGTGCAGCAGAAAGCGCGAATATTTCGTAAGGATGTGCATACAATTTGTGCTCCTCGGGCCACAAGCAATTCTGCAGAAGCAAATCTTCTGTCGGCGGAGCTATAACGCACGAAAAAAGAACGACGAAATTCATCCAAGACTGACCTGTGCTGTACACATAGACAGTACAGCACATAGCTCGGTGCAATGTATACATGCAATAGGAAACTAAGGTAGGCAGAAATCTTGAGATTATAGCGCTAGAATGATGTAGGCCTCGCAAAAATGACTTTCCGTAATACAATATGAACTCGATTTTACCATTTCATGTGTGGACAGGAATTTCCTTAAAGCCAATCGAGCACTCATCAAAACTTGTGAGATGCCTCGATGACCAAAAAATAAAACAGTACAGTACTACATTATAAAATAAGATATTTTCAAAAGGAAAACATTTTGAGACTTCGTTGCACTGTGCTATGTTCGTGATACAGAACCAGCCATTCCTCGTAATAAATACAGTATCTCATCAAAACCAACCTTCTAAATCAACATGTTTGAACGGACTCTCAAATCCCTCTTCGTTCTTCGTAGTATGCCGTTTCTCTGCTTCGGAAGCGAAAACGGCTTTGTTCGACAATCCCAACGCCGGCATTGATGCACCGACAGGTAGAGAAATTCCCGCGGTCACCGATTCAAGAAAATGTCCGTCCTTCGTCAACTTGGATAAGGTTTCCAGCACATCTTTGGGAGCGCGAAAAGCTCGAACAACCTATCCCATAAAAAAATTACCGACAATTGCATGAAACCCGTTGCGCTGGAGGAAAACATGACATTCAAAAAACCGTCGCTCCGATTACCTTTTCTTCAGATCCAGAAACAAAGCAAGTATCCGTCACACACGATATGCAGCTCAGGTCGTGACCATGCACTTGAGGTCGTCCCAATTCATGCCAGGACTCGACATCATTTCCATTCATTCCTGTCCGTCTCCAGACAGAAAATAACCTTGTCGTTTGGTCGGTGCCAGTTGACAGTAAATAAGAACCGTGCTTCGGTTCCCACGCGAGATCTTCCACTTTGCCGAAGTGGCCACCAAAGCCAACGCTCGGTTTCCATGCTTGCGCCTCCTTAAAAAAAACCAACAGACTTATTGCACAACTCCGAAGATTCTGCAAAATTACAGGGAGTCAGACAATAATGAGAGATCCCTCAACGCAATCAAACTAATTTCAGAAAATATCTCAAATAATCATACTCGACAGGAACCGCCACTCCAAATTGCGAAAATCAATGCGTCAGGAATTATCCCTCATGGAAAACTAACACTCCATAGTATTCATTTCATTAACCTCTAAAGAATCCAATACACTAATACGTGGCTGAACCAGAAATCCAAGGCCGACTTATTTGCAAACTTGGCGTTAAATGGGGGCTACTCTTCAGGAATATTCCAAGATCTCATTAGTTATTTTTCGCTGAAATATTGTTCCAACCAGTTGAACATACCTGATCAAGGCAAGTCCACACTTGGAATGCACCGTGTCGTGAATGACCAATGATTTTCTGAGCATCTGGCGACATCATGCAACCGAAAAACCCAACTTGATTTCCCCCGATATCTCCAATCCGTACGTCTTCCAGCCAAAGCCCACTATCTTCATCCTCTGACCAAAGTACCATGGTCTTGTCAGAAGACGCTGACAAAAGTACCTGCTTGCCTGTCGCTCTGAATCCCCATTGAACTCCATACACCCACCCCTCGTGCCCCATCAACACCGAATCCAGGGTGATCGACAGCTCTAGAAGGTACTCGACCCCTTGTAATTCGTACGCATTTTTAATCTTCATTAACTTGAGCTGCAGGGAATCTCCCGTTTCTTTCGCTGAAGGGTTATTCTTGGTTATTTTCCAAATTCTTATAGAAGTATCTTGAGACCCTGACGCCAGATACGCAGTTTCTTCATCTGAAAATCAACCGTCGGCATTCATAGTGAAAATACATATACTTTAAATAAAACCGAAGACTTACCTTTGCGGATGAAATCAATTGATCTCACCCAGTCTTTGTGACCAAACAATTTTTCCGCCATCACGAAGGATTTGGATTGATCCAGGGCGTATACTTCTATTGAGCAATCATCTCTCGCGCAAAAGACAAGAGGAACATCGAAAGATCCGAAGCACGCAATGCGTGCAGTTAGACCTAACCCTCTTCCTTTAAATTCTATTACTTGAATGCACTGGATTCCTGAAAATATGGAATACTTGGGGAGGTTAATTTCGAGATTAATATTTTTCCAAAATACACTCCTCACCAGTCACTACGGTTCCTTGCCAAAGCATCATGGTACTGTCCGTAGAAATAGTAGTCAGAACAACCTCTCCCGCTCCGGGATAAAGGACTCCATCTACATCATTCACGGAGTCCTTGTGACCTATCACAATGAAAGTTGAGCAGTTCAGGAGATATACGCAAAACCGCTCAAGATCGAAACCGTTACGAGTTTAAAATATTCGACAGCTTTTATTCTATCGTCAGATTATCTCGAAGCTCTGTGCGTATTCGCTTAATTGAGCTGATCTCTTAAGAAGTCAATGACATTTACCCAGTTTCCCACAATTTCACGTGGCTTAAATTTTAAAAGGGACCACATGACGATCAATTTTATAAGAATATTTATCTGCACTGATTCTTCTCCACTGTCGTTTGAATAGCTTTCCAGATTTTTCAATTTGCACCGATGATCTTCCATTCTGCGAATTTCACCATTCAAGACGAACTTCTGACAAGTTTTTCAACGCTCCGTTTCTCAATATGTAGTACTGTACAGTAAAGTACTTTCAACACACCACATCTTGTGAAACGGAGCGTTAAAAAACTTATCAGAAGTTTACGATAGTAAGAATCCACTCGGGGAACCAACAATACCGATCATTTCAGCAACCGTGTTCACGACGTATCCCCCATCTGCTTGCTTCCTCACTGCCCAGAGTCTCGCTGTTTTATCTTTGGAAGCGCTCAACAGGTACAGTTCATCAGTGCAAGATTTCGTTCCCGACAGCGTGACCCAACGAACCGCATTCACATCACCTTTGTGGCCAGTAACTGTCAAGATTACGCGACCACAATCTGCATACGCCTGTGTTCAACGAAGATGCTATCAACGGCCAAAATTGCCAAGAGGGCACGAACTTACATCTGGATCATAAAGAATCAACTTCTTGCTCGAGGCGTAGCATATCAAGGGACCTCCCCACGCTGCCGAATTGACAGTTCTGTTGCAGGCGGCTGCAACGAAAACAGACGTCACCGACGCCATGCGAACGACACCTTCGCCTGTTGAGGAATGAGACTAGGCAACTAGCGAGATCTCTTTTTCGAATAAAACTCAATTTTCTGAACGAGAACACTTCAAAATTCGCTTTACTCCGAAACATGGAAAATTCGAAGCCCCACACGGCGCAAACACAAGGAAAAATCGCGATTTCACAAACCGCGGGGGGCTTCGCGCACCGAAAGAAACTAGTTCCCGGCACCCATCCAGAAATGCCCCCGTCACTCTTGAACCACAGGGCAAATACCCATGACATCGAAGAAGATTCTATACGCTGGACTACTCGGTTCCTTACGACAGATTCTTCGCATTCCGCGACATAAAAAAGGCTTCAGAATTCGTCACATACGAGGAATTGAGACGCTCGCACGGCAACAAAACAAATTGCATTTCCCGACCTTAGCTCTTCCAAGAATAAGAGATCACGGACCCGAAAGGAAGAAACTAAAGCCTGGGCAAAGAGCGAATAATTTGTTCTGAAGAGTACGTTAGCTTTTTCGTGGAGTTTGAAAGTGATGACGATCACATCATTCCTCCCATACCACCCATTCCGCCCATTCCTCCCATGCCACCCATCGGGTCTTTTTCGTCTTTCGGAATTTCTGTAACGACACATTCGGCTGTCGTGAGCAAGGAAGCAACACCAGATGCATCGATCAGGGCAGTTCGGACAACCTGGAATCATCGAATGTCAGAACCAGGGCATTCATTTTGGCAAACCCTAAAAGAACTCACCTTAGTTGGATCCACAATACCCTTTTCGATCATGTTGACAAATTCATCATTGAGAGCGTCGTAGCCAAAATCATTTTCACCTTCAATGACTTTGTTCACAACAACTGAAGCATCTACTCCGGCATTTGAGGCAATTTGGTGGCAAGGCATTCTCAAGGCACGTCGGACGATTTCAACACCTGAAGAAAAAGCATTACCCAGAATCATTTCGATGAAGTTCGAGAGAATACACAAACCTATTTTCTGATCTTCATTCCCAGTCTTCACGTTATCTAAAGCCTTCATACAGCGGATCAGGGCAGTGCCACCACCAGGTACAATGCCTTCCTCAACTGCTGCCCTAGTTGCGTTCAATGCGTCAGTTACGCGGTCTTTCTTCTCATTAACTTCAACCTGGAAAATAGTACGCGTGAATAAGACAAGAAAATGAGTTTGAAAGAAGGGCACTAACTTCGCTGGAGCCTCCAACTTTGAGGACAGCAACTCCTGACGCCAATCGAGCGAGACGCTCTTGTAATTTCTCCTTCTCATACTCAGAATTCGTCAGCTGAATTTCATCTTTGATTCGAGTCACACGCGCAGCTATGTCGGCTTCCTTCCCCTTCCCCTATACGATAAACTCGGGTCAAAAACCAGAAATCGTTTCGTTTCAAAGATGAAAGCTCACTTTAAGGAGTAAGGTGTCGTCTTTCGTTACAAGAACTTCTCCGACTTTCCCGAGATCGTGAATTTGAACATCTTCTATTTTAACGTCGGCACCTTCATCTCCGAACACCATTCCACCGGTAGCAGCCGCAATATCGTGAAGCGTGTTTTTCCTGTTATCACCGAAACCAGGAGCCTTGACTGCGACAACTTGCAATCCGATCTTCAGCCTGCCGGAAAGATGAGATTTATTCTTTCTCATGAATATGTAACTGCACTACAGTATCATTCGATCTACACGTTCGGATGTAGAATTATCTACCTGTTGACTACCAAGGTGGACAACGCTTCTCCGTCAACGTCTTCCGCGATGATGAGCAAAGGTTTACGCTGCGTGTTTGAAAGTTCCAAAGCAGGGATGATTGATTGAATGGATGAAATCTTTTTCTCACTGATGAGAACTAAGCAATCTTGAAATTCAACTTTAGCTCCTTTGGTCGTATTGATGAAGTATGGAGAGATGTAGCCTCGATCGAATTTCATGCCTTCGATAACTTCCAACTCATCCTGCAAAGTCTTGCCATCTTTCACGGTTATGACGCCTTCCTGTCCAACCTAAAAGTCCAATCATTGAAAGAAGATGCTTGAAAAAGTACACCGATTTCATGAAGAGAGATTTACACAAGTGCGACCATGCACCGACCAAACATCAGGAAGGGAATTTCGAGCACGTGAAAATGCTCTGTTGGTGACAAATAGTCACATCGAGCTTACAAGTCAGCATCGAAGTTATCCACTACGTCAGAACGGGGAGTAGGAAAATTTTCTGAGGGCTGACTCAATTCACCTTCTTCATCGCCTCTGAAATGAGCGAGCCGATTTGTGAATCTCCGTTCGCCGAGATAGTGGCCACTTGGGCTACTTCTTCAGAATTTTTGACAGGCTTCGAGAGGCTTTTCAAATGATTCACGGCAGCGTCAACGGCAAGAATGACTCCTGCAAAACGTACACGCTGTCAACGTAACAGAACGAGAAAAACAGAAGAATACACACCTCTACGAATTTCGACGGGATTCGCCCCTTTCGAGATTTTCTCGAATCCCTCTTTCGCGATGGCACGAGCAAGAACGGTGGCAGTTGTTGTGCCGTCACCTGCTTCTTCATTCGTATTATTCGCCACATCCTGCACGAGCTTCGCACCGATGTTCTGAAATTTATCTTTCAACTCGATTCCCTTAGCAACTGTCACCCCATCTTTCGTGATCTTCGGGCTTCCCCAGCTTTGTTCCAAGATCACATTCCGACCCTACAAAGATAAAAGGAAGACTAAATCTAGCCACAAACGAAATTTCTAACGAAATGTTACCTTCGGACCCAGTGTTACTGCCACGGCGTCTGCAAGAACATCTACTCCTTGGAGCATCAATGCACGAACGTCTGAACCAAATCGAACATCTTTCGCATAGCTCCTTGCAACGACGTTGACTAATTTAAGGGAAGCGGCATTTCTCAGCGCGACTGGGAGACGGAACATTCTCGAAACTGGGTATTCACAGGTTTGGGAAATAATCAACCAAAGAATGCGCGAAAATCGTTTCTGTTCGATTAAGAAATAAGACAAATCCTTTTAGTCTAAGCTATGGGCGGCCCTGAAATTACACGATCGAAGACCTTCACGAATTTTCATCACGAAAATGATGAACGCATTCTTGGCCTAAAAGTGCATGCGGGTCACACACCGCTGCGGTCCCCCGATTTCGGACAACGGAATCGAAATAGCCCTTTCGCAAGTAACGCGAATCCTCAGGCGACACCGTCACTGTTATGAGGATCCTCACTCAGAAACTCAGAACAAGAGCCATGCAACCTCCGTGCGAGCTGGTGCAACATCCGGTCCCACACCTGACCCTTAAAAATTTATCACTGAAGATCGTCTCAGAACCATGCCGGTGGCGTCGGAAGGGGGGGGGGATGACAACCGGTACCAGTGGTGGATAGAACATTCGAGAATTCAGACGCTGTCGCGCACTGACGGGGCGATGCGCCGCCATGTTCTCCCTCTCCTTCTACAGTAAATACAGTAACAAAGCATTTTACTACCAATTCTGATTACGGTACCTCAGAAGCATCTTGATCTCATCGACAAAATTCCCAATTCTGACAGAATCTCAGTGCCGAGAGAGTACAGTTTTGTCTGTGACCCAGCGGCAGGCAGTGTAGTTTTTCTTCATCTGGGGCAGCGTCAGCATGCGTAGCTCAGCGCATATGACATAACATCTAACTGCACCAATACACAGGAGCGCAAATTGGTGAAGGACTGACAAATGCATTTCTGTATCAAATTCATAGATGTCACCTTTAAGAGGAAGTGATGCAAGAGAAAATCACACATCAATGAATGAACATGATTCATTACAAAATGTGGATCATACAGTACAGTATTTACGAACTGTAACTTTATTCACAGTCTTGCTATTCTGTCTGTTAGAATTTGCGTAAGCTGGAGTGGGGTCGAGGGTGTCGCAATTATGTTCTTTAGTAAAGTTGCTGCTGCGTTACATATTTGCAGTGCTACCCAGGGTCGTCCACGAGAACTGAACTGCGTGTGCTGAGAAAAATCTCCAATGCAAGTGGAAGTTACGAATTTTAAATTGTTCTTTCGAATTCCAGCCTTCGGTAGCTTATTTGGGAATTTTCATTCGGTGATCTTATCTCCTCTTGGGTAGATACACAGCGACGAACAATATTTCCAGGTCTTTCTGCATGGGTTAAGCTTTCAGACAGAGTTGAATACACGTAATTCGTTTAAATTACCGGGTTAGCGTAAGCTTCAGTCCGGAGGACCGATCGAGGTGAAGACCATGGTGCGCGTTCTCAAAAGTGAATCGATATCGCCGTGTGGTGCATTTGTCGTATGTGCCATCCTGCATGGTGTCGCTTTCGCAGGTAAACGGAGTAAAATCGAATGATCCCATTCGGGAGTATCTGGATTTCTCTCGATTAAAGATTTTAGACTGGACGTTAACGATGGAGCTTCAATACATGACATGACGTACGGAGACGTGTTCTTCGAAATTGTTTACCCAGAGAGCATACAGTACACGTTTAGGCTGAGACCAGCCAAGGATTTTGGTATTCCATTCGTAAGTCAGCTAAATTTCGAAAAATATTCTTTGTCCCGAATAGGTATAGTTCTTCAAAAATTTTCAGAACTGTACACACAACAAGATACCACTTGTACCGGAGCAGCCTCTAAATGGGTGTGGATTTCCTGAAAATTCTCTTGCCATTCAGGATAACATTGCCCTGGTATCTCGCGGGTAATTTCAGCATGAAGCCGATGGTTTGCAGTTATGTGAAGGAAATTCTCTTCCCAGGGATTGTTCTTTCTTGAGCAAGGCTATTCAGGCCGAACGCGCTGGGGCACTGGGTGTCATCATAATGGATGATAATGCGGAAGACGACGATATCTTTATTGACATGGTTGACGATGGAACCTCGAGAGATGTCAATATCCCAGCGGGTTTCTTGCTGGGGAGGAATGGGTAAGTGTTTGAATTTATAACGGAGATCATTAAATTTTCGAATGAGACGGATGACAAGTTTGCATCAATGATGTTCATTTAGAAATTCTTGACGCAATAAATCCATTATACACCGTTTCGGCGCAGTCCGTCGGATGATGCGGCGAAATCCCACATGTCTGACAGTCCATGTACCATCCAGAAAGCATAATTACCTTTTTCTGGTCGTGACATCTTGTCTTAACTACTGTATACGGTATCCTCTTTTGAACGCGTTACCCCTTGATCGAATTTTTTTCATAACTTCTCACCTCTCTGACTAAGGCTGCCGCAGTAAGCAACTCTTATTCTGGACAATTTCTGAGACTAAAGTTCCGTTTGCAGAAGATTTGGCGTCTATTTTGCTTATAGAACAGATTCTTCTAGTGCAGTTTACGGATATCTGAACTTCACCCAACTGTGGTAGAATTAGATTCTTGAAGTGTTCATATTCAACTTTATTCTCAGGTTCGCCATTTTACGAGAGTTGGACAAGCTTCGTCTGCCGTATGCGTTAGTGAACATTCCCGTGAATATGACACTTTCTCCTGGAAAACTTCTGAAGCAGACACCTTGGGTTATCTGGAGTTGAGAAATGCGAATTACCGGCGTTCCAGCTGCGGGAATCGTGATTTTTATTGATGCGATGCGTGTGTGAACTTTCAGGGGACGCCTTGGCAGCGTAAACAATGGCTAGTGATAAACTGCTTTACTTCAATTTGTGTTCCATCATTTATAAAAAAAATTAAATGGAAGCAAAATCAACTAAGTTTAATTCCGGATTGGTTCAAATGAATCAAGTTTTGTTGTCAAGAGCATCGACGGCAAAGGTTCAACATCAAGAAATAAAATTGATTTAAATAAAGTAATGTGGCTTCTTTACATTGATGCCACGCTCTTTCAGTGTAGGTAGAAGATCCTCAAGCGTTAGTTGAAATCTACGATCCTTTGTTTGCTTTTGATTCTTCAGCTGTTGTGCAGTCCGAAGCTTGCAGTGCTGCATTGCATCATTCGTAACATCTGCGATGAATTTCTGACTTGACAAGCTGATCAGGCGGAGTCTGCAAAGAGAAAAATGTTTTCTCGAAGACATTCCGAAGAACCAGGCGGATCTACGTACAATCGTGGGTCATCGACCTGAAAGCCAGCCGTCGACATATAATGACTTGTGACAGCATCTGGAATCTGAGCAGAGAGTATAAATATTAGGAATACAACCAATAAAAATATACATATGCGTACAGTCGGGGTGAATTCTTCCAAGGACTGAAGGAAATCAGTGAAGACTTGGCCGTAAATTGCCTCCGGATCCAGCGCATCTTCACCATCATGATCAGTGGTGTCCTTACGATCTGCATCTTTCGATGCTGCATGTTTTCCTTGAAGAGTTTCCATCTTTTCCGCATTGCTAACAACGAGCCCTGGCATGTTTACGGAACCACTCGAGACATCAGCCCACCCATTGTTCGTGCTGCCACTCGAGCTGGGTCCCCCTTGAGCCATGCCGACACACTCGACCGAAAAAGAAAATGTATGCACGCGAAAAGACAAGGACTTCTGGAATTCAAGCAATAGTAAAAGGGTGTATTTTCAGATCACAGTGGGTCTTTAAAATAAACTAAACCTTTATGTTGTAAAAGCTTTTTCATTTCCTCAGAAGCACCAAGAAGCTGACAATTGTTTCACATACATAGCCCGGTGCTGTGTCTACGGTAGTGCACACGCACTCACACTCAACGATATTAGTTGCCCTCCAAATGAACTCGGTAGCGTAATTTAATCACAGCTTTCGTGGTATGAAAGCGAGATTGCCACCGTAAACCTAGACTTGCTTCTGGTAACCTCAAAGGTAAACATTCAAATTTCAAGGCCCAGAGAAATCTGAACATTTTACAATGCCAAGTTGATCACCGCGGATGAAATCTGAAGCCAAGAAAATATTTGTTCCGCTTCCACAGTCAAAATCCAAAGTCCAAAGAAAGGCAACAAACCCGGTTCATTAGCACCTCCACGTGCACCAAAAGAGCAATTCGTTTCGACAAAATATGGCAGTTCGAAAAATCGTGCCATTAAAAAGCATGGACGGCAGGCATTTCTTCATCACGCCAGCGTCAAGAAAAACAAACAATCGTGATGAAGTTTTGCTTTCAATCACATCAAAAAACACCAACATCTGAGCAGACAAATGATGTGCTCTGACAAGCCACCACGCGTTACCAGTTTTGAACTCCGTCGTCTTTTGCAACTCAAAATTGACCAGCATAGATTTTTAAAAATTCGGTGTGCGCATAATTCCGACCATTCCCGCATAACGGAGTTCCCACGTCCTCAGGTTTCAACCATTACAACGCCCATGGTAAATAAAATGAACAGGTGTGCTATGAGCTTTAAATCATAACACGAAACATTTTTCAAATCTCAAATCCGCACGCAAGTAACATCAATGTTTCAAAATCCCCAAGCAAAACCGGAAAGCGAAGGTTCTTCGAAAGCTGAAATCAAGCTATGTCCACGTCGGGTAGGTTTTTTCATTATAAAATGAGATACGACGATGAACAAAACGACTAGAACATGAGACCTGCTGAATATGAGATCAAAATTATTTAATAGCGGTCTGTATGCATCTATTTCATGAACAAAGTAGGAGCAGGTTACGTTATTTTGCTCCAATCAAAGTCATCGTAGTCCTCGTCCTCATTTTCATCTTGCTCTTCGGCAACAGTTACAACAGACGAGTAACTCCCGTTTGCCCAACTCCCTGAAATGCCTTTCAAAGATGCTGCTGGGGACGGTGTTTGTGAAATGTCATTGCAAACGCGAACTCTCCCACGAGAAAACGAAATCGTATTTGCAATGACAGAAATAGTTTCCGTTGTTCGATGATGGAATTCAGATGCCGTGAAAGATTTATTCAGTCTTTGAGAAAGCTTGGGTTTACTCCCAGCCAAACCCAGAAGCCCTCCCCAACCAGCTGACCCCAGGGATTTCGATAGAACTGAGGAGCTCCCAAGAGCAGAAAAATCAGTACTGGACTTCATGCTTGCGGATGAAAAGCGCGAATCCTGTGACAAATTCGACCAGCTGTTGCTTCGGCTTACCACCGGAGTCGGTTCGAATGATTCATCTCCGTTATCAAAGGACATTCGCAACCGGCTTGATGGATTCGACCAAAGGTTTGCGTTAGATGACGCGACAGGAGTATCGAAAAACGATGATTCGTCCCGGTCAATCGTGGAACCTGGAGTAATCGATGAATCTTGATTCCCAGAACTGGGTTGAGATGATACAGGCACGGAGAGCAGTTCCTCCTTAGAAGAGAACAGTTGAAATTACCAAGATTAGCATCATAATTGTAATTTTTTGACCATTCATCGTCATGCAGGATGACTTTCGCGTCTCTTCAATTTAAAAAACGGCTCTCCGCTATTGAAACGTTCGGAACCCAGATTTCAAGTCCAGCAACCACGGTTACATTCAACTGTGCTAGTCTTGTCCAGCTACTACACTGGCGTACGCTATAATACATCGTATCCTCTACCATGAATCAGAACTTCTTCGAATACCCTGCGAGACTTATCCAAAATTATAAAGCCGTTCCCCTTGAATGGAAGAATCCTAAATTGCCAACAGTTGCTCTGCCTCCAAATGAGAGATGCAGCAACCTTTTGATAGAGTGTTACACGCATGATGCGGACCTTCATTAATTTCAAGTTATTTCGAAAATGTTTCAATAAATAAGTGAAGGCATTTATTCCCCAAAAAGACGGATCCAAATTTATTTTTTCAATTAAAGGCAGTTCGTGGCTCAAACAAAAGCTAGACCGGCATCCATTCAACAAAATGTTCTTTGAAACGTCCATCAAACCAGGAAAGGGTCAGTGAAGATCCAGGTACTGTATCAAGTGATGTCATCTGCATTAACTAAAGATTCTGAGGAGCTCTGCGCGGTTATCTTCGGCCGTTCAATTCCATCTCAAGGGATGCACACGATCGAGTAATTGCCGTCAACTTCCATCGCTACATGAAGCATCATTAAAATGTCGAGAAGAAATGCAACTAACCAATTTCAAATCCAGACCAGCGAATCCGTCCTGATTATACTCCACAACCGAGTTCGTGACCGGAATGACTTCTTCTGTGTTCGCCAAAAACGAAAAAGGATCAGCTTCTGCCTGTCTCACCGGACACTGTTCTTCGGTAATACTCCGGTCCGTCGTAAGAACAACTTCGGGCAAATTCCAGGATTCATCAGTGGACGGACATGTCGAAATGACGGTGGCCTCCATGACAAGCGTAGGCTCCGAAGTGGACCATTCAGTATTTTGATAAGCTGTCGACGGCTGAACAGCAAGCAAGGACTTGGCTATCTCAGGATTTGACAAAGCTGTGAGCACTTCCGGATTCGTCAGCAAATTCGCCAGATCGGAATCCGCCAACACTTTGCTTCGAATGCATTCAAGTGAAGAACTGAGATCGGCCGGTGGCGTGGAACAAGAAGTACCATTAGTCCGCAGAAACTTTCCGCCACTACACGATGTTGGCGCGAATAATTCGAGAGAATTTCCTTCTGCCTCGCTAAAGGCATCGTCACTCATCAAATATTTTTCCAAAGATTCAATACAATCTCTGTCGTATTGCTCGCTGGAAAAGCTGTTGAATCCGCGGTTGAAATTCGGCTGCAGGCAAAAAACCTTTGCATTATCAACGAATTCAAATTGCCGACAAATTTCAATAAGGCACATGTACTCGCCTGCAAAGAACTAGCCCTTCGCTGCCTCGCGTTCCCAACAAGCTTTTTTCTCCCCGGTAAATAATCAGGGTCAATCGTCCAGTAATTTCCTTTTCCGGGATGATCTCGATCTCGACTCAATTTCTTGAACATTTTGTTCAACGATAAATTATGCCGCACGGAATTCTACAAGCATAAAAAACAAAGATAGCTTTTCGGCTGATGCAGACATATTCCAATTTGAACCTCAAAAACTTCGGATTTCAGCGAAAGAGGAGGCAAGCCAGTCCCCAACATAAGGATAACTAGAATAAGAAAGTGGCCAGACACTAAAAAATTCGGACACTGATCCGCGATGAGGACAGCGATGCCATTCAGTTAGGAGTCCCGAATGTGAATTTTGCCAATCAACTAAAAAAACAAGAATTTACGAGGAACGAAGGAAAGCGCATTGAAGTCTCACGCCCTTTGGAAGTTGCTGTACCGTAAGATTGCTGTCATGTCATTTTCACACGCTTTTGCCTGGACAGCTGCATCGAGTGCTCAGCAACATTAGGAGCTTCTACGTTTTACTGACTTGGGATGGTCGACTGTTCTCGCGCTGAGAAATTCTTTCCTGGGTCATGAACGTTTTTTAAATTTTATTTAGTACCTCAAAATAGTGGGTTTTTTGTTCATAAGGTGAGCATGCCAGTCCTGCTAAATTGTAATGCACTGATGACATCAACAGCTGTCGAGAGACTGAAGGGTGATGAAATTGTTGGACCTTTCTTTCCTTTCAAGGGTGTCTGATCGAACCTTGAAAAATTGCGGTTCATAATTTCGTATTATTTTCCTGCATTGGTCACGGAGTCCAAAAGCGCATTGTGAGAAACCTCACTCGTGGACTCCGTGACCAATGCAGGAAAATAATACGAAATTGTGAATCGCAATCTTTCAAGGCTTGATCAGACACACTAAAATTAATTTTTGATGCATTTTACATTTCACACTCAATCGGCTACTTTCTGAAGGACATCTTGTTGCATCACAAATACTGTACTTCACATGCTTTTTTCAAGTCCTCTCTTCCGGAATGAGATGAATCTTTGTTTTGTTTGCAACTATTAGATGATGAGAAGGGACAGAAACAATTCTGAGAAACCTTATATATTCAGACAATGCCGCCCATAGCAAATTCTTCAATGCTCAACTTTCATTCACAACATCGAAAGCCCCATCAAAAAGAAATTCGAAAAGCATGAATAAGGAAAGGGACTTAAAAAATCCAAATGGTCGACAAATCCACTCAATCGAAGAGGTGTTGACTACGGAAATCATCTCACCCTCCATCCTTTCTTAACATCCGTCTGGTAGAACGGGTAATTGTCACTAATCCAGTCGTAAATGTCGGAAAGGGTCATTTTCTTCGCCGCGGAACTGCAAATCGCCTTCCGTATGAGAGTTGCGTAACTGTGCGGAGGTTTCGCATAACGTCCATCATTTATGAAGGTTTGCGGAGCGGTTGTAATATTGCACTTCTTTGACAAAACGGGATCAGGAGCACTCCACGGAGCAGGGACGGCAAAATTTCCATCACTGGGCCCAATATTCGGAACACCGGCCCCACCAGCTGCTAAACCTGGCAGCCACTCCAGTCGAGTCAAACTGCCGTTCAGGTCAACCATTATTTCCTTCAGCGAGATCGCTCACATTCATATCACAGATTGAATAAAAAACGGATTCATCCTGCGGATCAAAGCAATTCAAAATATCGCCTTATTAAACATGAACAACACCACCCGCCTTTCCCACGTGAAAATAAGTCGAGATCATGAAATAGTCAACTTTTTTTTTCCTTCCCAACATCAGTCAGAATGAAGCAATATCTCGAATTTGCATCTGACATCTTTTGATGTTGAAAAGATTCAAGATCTTTTGCCTTCATCTTTCGCAATCGCATCCCGACAGGACCTCGCCCCTATCGTCACTGTTCCCTGAATAAGAATTCAGCCGCTCAGCACTTATTTACCCGAGCTGCTAGACACGGGAGAAAATACGAGCCTTGTGTAAGAGGGAGGAGGCATCTTCATTACGCTTGTAATGACAACAGAATAAATTCATTCAAATTATTCGGAGCAGAGAGCTCGAAACACTGCACGATTCGACCACGTAATCCGTAATACCCCCAACTCCATCGATAGTACACAATCGTATCACGCGTCTCCGCTGGCAGATTTCCGCCACGAGACAAAGGTTCCCTAGGTCTTATCGGTTCAATAGCTAAAAAGTACAGCAGCAGCTGCACACATCAACACGCTGACACACCTTTGCAGGCTCTTGAAAATTATTTCGAACCATCTTAAGCCAAATAACACTAATTTATACGACTGCTGGGCTCTCCTTTGAGTAACAGGCAGAAATACTCGCGAACAAAAATGAATGGGTTCTAGGCGGGACCGTAACAAAAGAATCACGCGGAATTGAAGAGAGAAAAAAGAGAAGTAAGAAACGGGAAAGTAGATCGCCCGGGGTAAGATGGAGGTACCCAACAGCTTTCACATTCCATCGACGAACTCTCGGTCGCCCACGTTGACTCGATCAGAGGCCGCTGTAACGCTGAATCCCAGGATGCTGTTGTCAACCTTTTGCATCTTCTTGTTCTTTTTGCTCTTTCCTTTACCCTGCATTACCACCGCGATTCAACGATTCGCTCACTTACTAACTCAGAATAGGCTTCCTTACCTTGACAACATGAAAGGCATCCGCACTTAAAGTCTGCGAGCTCATGCTTGAGTGATTCCCGGTATTCGAATGGTGATGGACCTGAGAGCTTTGAGATGACTGTGAGTTTGGGTTGATGGCTTTCGCAGGACCAAGCATCGAGTCTTCCGGGGCTTTTGCAGATTTCATTGAGTTTTTCCATTTGCTTCTCCGTTCGAGGAACTCGCGAATGAATTCTTTAGCTGGTTTATCAGTACCAAGATACGAGGCGCCATAATCCTGTACTTCGAAAGGTGATTCGACGTCTTTCAGAAATGCTATGAACGTGGCAACTGTTGGTCAAAAAGGAAACAAATGCTTTCAGACCAGGTCAACACCAATAACGACGTGGAATCCCACGTTTCCACGATAAAATGACCTTAAATTGAGCCCGACCGCCAAAATCGAAGATATGAATTTTGAATTGTAAAGCATCCGAACGAGCAATTTCAAGTATTAAAAAATTGGGTTATTGTTAAGCAAAGGACAGAAGTAAAATCTCTGGGTATTAAGTAACCTTCAGCTCATCTAGGAGAAACAATCAGTGGAAAGTATATTTTTCTCAAGGAAACATGGTAAGAGAACAACCACACACCGTCAATCGTAGTCCCTATTTGTAGTTCTTCCAAAGCTTTGTAGCACCATTTTGTGAAGTCATCGTCCGACTTAGATCTCGGATGATCAAAAAGTTTCATCATATGATCGTCATTCTTTTTTGCAGGCTGATTCTTTGGTTTGCTCCCAGGTGGATTAGCTTTCGCCTGCGGAGCAACTTGCTGTTGCTTTTGAGTACCTTTCGCTACCGTGCTCCAAAAACTTCCAGTAGGGACGGATGCTGGCGCTGGCGCCGGCGCCGCAGCCTTGGCGGCATGCGGACTCGTAGCGTTGGACCAAGTGCTAGTTGGCGCAGCCGCATGCGTAACAGGTTTAGGTGCGACAGGTGTGGCGAGCGGCGGCGAGGGTGTCGCCGCAGGTAGACCGCAAGCAGCTTTTGAAGCCCATGAAATACCCTGTGATGTCGGAGCTAACGCGGCATTCTCCTTCTGAGCACGCGCTGCGGCGGCACTCGCAGCTGCACGTTGCTTTTCTCTCTTGAAAGGAATAAAAACACACTAATTAGTCAAGCGCTGGAATGACAAAAATTGAAAGAAAGAAAAAACTGCTCACCGTGATCATTTTCATCTTCTGCTCTTCCTCAGCTTGGATTTCAGCGAGTGACTTCGGCTCGACCGGAGCTTGGACCTGGGCTTGAGTTGCCCAGCGGAGGGGCACACCAGCTGCGCTCCATTCATTTTGTGCTACCTTCTGCGGGGGACTTGGCGCACGTTGACTCTGAAAAAGAAACAGGTTTATTGTGATAAGGGGAAAATATGAATAAACGTAATCCCGTCATAATCACCAGCTCCATTTCCTCTTGCGCCTGTACTTCAAGAAAGGATGTAGATGAACTAACTTGGGGGCCCTTGCCGCCCCACGGAACACCACCGACAGCGTTTTTCAATATGGCAGTTTGCAGCGCATCATCTTGAACACGTTCTCGTTCTTGCTCTTCTTCAGCTTCACGACGCTGAATCTCTGAAAGCCGAAGTCTTTCCGATGCTTCCGTCGCGGCTTGGGCTTTCGCGCGTGCTGCTTCATGAAGCTGACGCTCTTTTTCTTCATGCTCCAGTTTTCGCTTGAGAGCTTCAACTTCATACGCCCGCCTTTGAATTTCCTCCCTTGAAAAGAAATCACACGTCGTAATGTCAGTATCACATTGTGGAGAACAAATGGAAATTCCCCAGCGTCGATTTTTCGTAGTTGCAGCGATTTGAATTACAGTACTAGCTGCTCGCTCATGAGCAAAAACTGAAAGATCTCGTAATTTAATGTATCTCTCTGTTAAAAAATATTTCATTGCAATTCCAATATCAAGAGCGACTTTAATCCCGATCAAATAACGATTAATGACTACATGGTGAATGAGAGGCAATAAAATGGCAGTTAACCAGATATTAATGAAAAATACTGAACATGCTGAAGCAGAGCGTGAACAGAAAAGCAAAATTAAATTTCAAGTGCGACACACGCTCTTTTTCCAAGCTAGAGACGAACTTTGAAATGCGTTATCAAGTTAGCAAAATGTGTCCGTTGAGTGTCCTTCATAATGGATTTCGATTGAAACGGGAATCTTTTCAAAACGCAAAATAGGTGCTGAACAAAAAGGCGATGACTTAAAACTTGATTCTTACATCAAGAGTGCGTACATGTTTTTTCTTCTTCATCTCTCCGCATTCCAAAATATGCCCGATGCGTACGCACTTGAAAAATTTCCTTATCCTAGCGTAGGTTAAAAACCAAATTGAAACTTCAAGCATTTTGAAACTTGTTAAACCCTGCGTGCATTGATCTCCGTTTAAAAATTTGCTATACTGTCACTTGGAACTAGCATGCATCTCTTTCTACTAACTGGCGTTTTTTCTCCAGCAATGCCTGCATTCGTTCTTCTTCTTCTTGTCTTTTACGCTCAGCCTCCTTCTTCTCAAGCTCTTTCTGAAGCTCCAGTCTTTGTTGCTGAAGAAACGCCATTTGACGGCGTTCAGCCTCCAGGCGCTCGGCTTCTTCTTGCCTCACCAATTTCAATCGTTCTTCCTCTTCTTTGCGCTTTCGGTCTTCCTCTAGTCTTTAATAGTTTAAAAAGTTAGAAGTTGGAATCTAAATAGTAAAGAAAAGTCAACTCACTGCTGCTCCCGTTTTCGCCGGCAATCTTCTTCCCACTGCAATCTTTCTTGTTCCAACCTCTTCCTCTCTTCGTCAACGGCCTTCTTTTTTTCCTCGATTTCTTCTCGCATTTTCCGTTCTTCTGCCAGAGATGCCTCATCAGGACCTTGCGATTGCTGCAATAAAAGAAGAAAATCCGAAATTTCAAATTTTCAGAAAAAAGTTTTTTTCATCGACAACTGCCCGACAGAGAAAGGAGAATGCAACTAACTCGAATGGGTAGCTAGCAAAGCTTAGAGGATAGCCGGAATAACTTTTCTTCACCGTTCGCGAAAGCAACTTGTAAGTCGCTCTATTCGCCGCCAAGAAATCCGCGAACTTTTGAAAATATTCCAGCAACAATTGATTACTTGTCTGGACACCAACAGAAACACTTCGCGACGGAAGAGAGGTTCCTGGAAAATCGTCACTACTGGAATCTTCGCTCTTCCGAGATTCGCTTTCAGAGGATCTATTGTCCGCGTAACCTTCCCAGCCCGTGACATCTTCTTCTGTACGACACAGATCCGTCATGTCGCCCGAGTTGCGAAATATCAATCGGCAATGTGACGATTCGCTCTTCGCGTCGACAATCACATTCGCACTGCGCTCAAGGACCAGCTGGGAAAATTAATAATCGCTACGTCGCCAAAAGGTATGCTTCGTTTGCCAAACGCTGAACATAACGAGACTAAGAGTATACTGTACAAAAGTTTCCCCCGAACAAGGGGGGGGGGGGGATACGAAATGATCTCGTTAATCGCACCTTCACAGATTAACGAAAAGTATAACAGATATTCAAATCATCAGAAACGGATCTCGCAAGAACCCATATCTACAGGTATTGTAACGATTTCGACGCTCAGAGGATCGGATGGAAAACACTTCGCTTTTCCGGCTCTTCGTGAGTGCTATCCTAATCCTAGAAATGAAACTGAAGTCGGCACTCACCTGATGCATCAACGTCTGCGACAGGCCCTGCTGATGCTTCATCTGGAGTAGCAAACTTTGAAACGCATCACTGTGCGGCTGCTGATTTTGCGAAGGTATTGGCATGTTGATCGGCATACCATGTGAGTTGGGCAGTGATCCATGAATCACGCCCGGCAAAGGAGCTCGCGGTTGCATCATAGGAAGCGAAAAATGACCAGCGCCCACGTTTTTCAGCGGGTCTTTCTGGTCGATTTCCATGTACGGTATCTGTTGGACATTGCCTTGAGGATTCTGCATGTTTAGTTTCTGCAATAATGCTGACAAAGAATTGTCAGTTTGCTGGTTGGCCTGATCATGCTGTAAGCCCGGGACGCCGACCGAATGAGGCTGCATTTGATTTGCGTTTGGACCCAACATATTTGTCAAGAGCTGTTGCACCGGAGTCGACGATTTTTGTACGATCTGTGGACCAAGGCCCATATGAACATTTTGTGGATGTGACATTTGCTGGTGTGATGACTGTTGCAGATTTTGCATGAAATTCAAGCCGGGTTGTCCAACATCTTGTTGCATGACCCCTCTATCATCCATTATTCCAGGCATAGATCCACCTAAAGGGCCAGTTTTCCAGCTGTTGCCCGCGTCTTTCGAGAGCGGCATATTGGCAAGGTATTGCGGTAGACTAAGGGTCCCCTGAGCATCTGTGTTCAGCCTGTTCGTAGTAAAAAAAAATCGTAAGCTATACAGATGTCGAAGATTTCGACAGACACGAAATACGAGGAAACGCGGAATTCAGTTTCCAAACCGGAGAACGGCTTCATTATCTTCTCATTCATTTAATTCATCTTTTTTAATAAAAAAGAAAAGGTTCGAACCGTCGAGCGGCTGATCCAATTGACGCAGAGCTCATATTCTGCATGCCCCGAGCATGTCCCGCAGACAAAATATCCCCAGGAGATCCTCGAGTTTGCGGTGCAGGTTGGCCTGGAGCTCGGAGTGGGGATGATGGCAATCCGGACATTTGGGAGCTACTGTTGCCAAATAAACCGGACATCAATCCTTGACTGGACGTTGGCGGATTCCCCGCGAGAGGCGGCAACATTGTCTGCGGAAGCCGCGACGCCTGAGGGAACGCTTGCGACACAATGGCAGGATCCGTCACAGCCAAGTCTTTCGGAGGAGTTGGTTGAGCAAGTTGTTGGCTGAAGGGATTGGATCCGAATCTGGCCTTCATTTGCCCTAGACTCATGAAATGCTCATCGAAACTTCTTCTCAGCAATAATGCATCTTTGAAAAATCCTCGCAAGAACCAATCACTCATTTCGGATGGCGTGAAAGGGCCTGTAAACATAACGTGGAAACATGTACTCTCAACAACGGTTTTAACGCAGAAATACGAACATCTCATGAATAATAATAGATAAATCCCGCAATGCAATCCGAATACCAGATACACGTTGGGCATCTACAGTAAATGGAAACTAATTCAGTATGCACGAGATCGAGTAAACTGGTTCTGCAAGAGTTTGAAGAATATCTCACTTACCATTCTGGTATCAAATCAGAGGTTAGACAAACAGTAAATTTAAAAAATCAAAAGATCCACATTTTCAAGTTCAAAGCGAGAAATATACCCTAAAAATGATGCATCATGTTTTCTCCAGAAAATAAATACAATTCTTGGTTCTCTCAGGGAAGCATGATATTGGGACGAGTCTCTTTGAAACCGAATGAGAGGTCATAAAAAAAATTCGGTACAACAATGAAATTAAAATTTCATCGAACTCTGAAAACACGAATTCAGAGAGAAAATCCTTCCGAATGATTAAATCATCAGAACTGTCAGCTTTCATGGAGACGATAACAGCAAAATTGGAAAGCCGAAATATACGCCTTAAATTCGTACGACTACGACGAATTCATTCCGACATTCGACCTTAGCGGTGATAGGATTTCATCGGACAATTTTTCTGAGTTTTAATTATAGACATTACGATGATTGAGTTACATAATCACATTGTATCACACATAATCACCTTGTATCACACCAGATGGATCACGATAAAACCACGACACGGGAATCGTAGGAGAACTGCTGGACTCGGGAGACAAGCCGGATGTACTCTTCATCCCCTGCCCAGCATTTGAGTTGAGAATCGAGCTTACTTCCGGCTCACCAGACGCGTCGTGGAAATGAGTCGTGGAAATATTATCTCTGCCAGGGGGAAATCGCTGAGACAACAACGCGTCGACATGATCACCGTTACCTCCGTGAGCATTTTGGTCGACAGGAATATGAACTGGATTCGTATGTGAAGAAGCAGTGGCTTTCGACACTTCGTCACGGGTATTGCTCTGGTCAGCGACTTCCAACTGAAAATCCGTTCCAAAACGAACCGACATTTCATGCCGCCCAGAAGCATCCGCATCGGCTGACGACTCGCTCCGTTTTGTACTATCGTTCGTTTCCATTCTGACATTAGGTCGGTTCTCACCATCTTGCTGCTTTCTTGTAGGCTGAAATAAGAACAAAAAAGTCCACGTCGTGGATTTTGAAAATGTGCATTCAGCGAGCTCATTCCCAATAAGACAATTAATGATAATCCCAAGGATTACTTCGTGTTATCAGGAACTGCATGAAAATCAGATAAAAACGAAAAACGGTTCTTTTACTGTATTGCGTATAAATATGCTTTGTAACTCGAGGTCCGCAGATTAACGCCTATTCAAAGAGATCTGGCACAAAAAAAAGTAAGAATAACTCGTGGTCAAGAGCCGGTGCTTAATTCGATAAATTCACTTTCAACCAGACCTCGAATAATATTTCTTTCTTCCATTTCACCGTGGACGTTGAGGAAAACTGTCAAACTTGAAAGTGCTAATGATACACGAAAACTTCAGGAACCTTCGGTTACATCATGGTCGTGTTTTGAATTTTAAAAATGCAACTACTGTAAATTTATCCTGAAAACGGGGAAAAATCGATCATCCTCGTTACCAATGCAAAAAAGTGAAAACTTGATATCGTCCAGAGGAAAGTACATTAAAATAGGAAATTTTTCGAACCTCGTCAACTCCACTGGGATCCACGATCCTCCTAGAATCGCCGGCTTCATTCGGATGGTCATCAACAAGCTCGGAATCTTTTCGGGGACGACTTGGAGGTGAATGAGAGGATTCTCGCGGATCGGTTGAATTTCTTGGAGTATCGGAAGATGCATCTCTAGGACCGTCGCGATCTTCGCCATCGTCGATCTCGTATCCATCGTCGTCATCATCAAATCCTCGTTCCCTTCGCGCGGCAGGACGATTTCCGGAACCACGCCATCCACCTCGACCCGTGTGACCTCCTCGCCGCTCTTCGTCAAAGCCCCGTTCTCTCCAGCTTGGCCCCCCTAAAAATATTCAGACAACTGGTCAAACTTTAACGTATTTTACAATGAACCATGCCGATTGTGCGAAAAAATATGGCTCAACGATAATGGCAAGGTTTTTCGAACTAAAAACAGAGATTCCAACTTTCAACGGACTTTCATTCAGGTCAGCCAAAGGAGTAGGTTCCCCAAAAATTCTCGAAAATAAAGTTCTACAGTGCACTCCGATAAATGTAGAAAACATTTCCCTGTTCTTTTTAAGAGAAGACTGTTAACCTGTTCTTGAGCTCGGGAGACCGACGAAAAACCTTCTCATTAATGGTAATAATCAACACCTCCATACAGAGAAGAAAGGAGAACGATGCATTGGTGAGAAATAAAAACGCCTCAAGTTGAGAGGGAACTTCATTACATTCATGAGAAGATTCAAGCAGAACATTCATATTTGTGGATAGCAAGTTAAATTACAGTGTAAGTTAAAAATTCAGCATGCTTTTGCATTTTGTGAAGAAAAAAACTTCTCGTTTACATCCCCAAACAAAGTAAGATTGCGAAGTGGACAGTTCAACTGCGTCAATTTTTTCCTTGAGAGAAAAATCCCTATTGTGAACAGTCCAAAACTTAGAGGAGAGACACCAACTATTAAATACGGCTCCTACAAATACTTGGCGTTTCCGCTATTTAGAAAGAGGATACGAAGGATCGAATAACACTAATGAAGGAAAGCGTACGGCTTCAACCGAATCAAATCAAGATACGCAATGCTTCGAAAGACAGGATCCAGTCATCAGCATTGAATAATGAATGTACATGTGAACAGAATTATACTTACGCTCACCCCACTTCGAATGGTTCCCGGTGTGTCGCCAATCTCCACCAGAAGCAGCCTCGTCATTTAAACCTTCCCTTTGCCTCCAATTATCAACGGCCGTGCTTGAACCACGTGATGCTCCAGCCGTAGCGCCACCTCGGCGAATGTCCACGGCGTTAGGTCCGGGAACCGTGCTAGCTCCACCCCCCGGACCATTACGTTCGCTCCAAGTGTTACGATCACCGAAATTCTAAAATAATTCATCAGGTGATCGTCAGGTATGAATGGACAAAAAAAAGACGAGAATTTTACGAACCTGAGATCGTTCAAATTGACGCACACGATGTGGACCACCTCCTCCGTAGCGTGAATCGCTCCAATCTCCCCATGCGCCAGTCCCACGTTTTCCAGGTTCTAGTTCTTCTTCAGTTGATGTTCCGCGGAGATTGCCTCGGAGTCCTGTTGTTGAACTTCCACGTCCTCTGGCTCCACCTCGTCCACCACGACCGATTCCACGATTTCCTCTTTCAGATACGCCACGCACATCAAGTATTTCGCCGTTTCCGCCCGTGTTTTCTCCGACAAGCGCAGCGCCGGTTCTTGCAGCGGCTCGAACGGCGTCGCTATTCACTCCGTATCGAAGAAGTGTCTGCAACACCACTTTCGTTCATTTAAACCACGAATTGCAGATAAGGAGTAAAACATACAGCTTCTTCCTCGGTGATGGGCTCGACTGATAGAGGTTCTCGTGGCTTACTACTGAAAAATGCGTCCTCTGTGTCCAAGTTCGCAGGAGGCTGAGGGGAATGAGAAATAAGTGCAAGCATTTCTTCTCTCCCGTATCTGTAATCGGCGAGCTTATATTTATTTGTCCCTAAAGCTGGTGGTGGCGGGCTTCCTCCTTCATGACCTCCAGATCCGGATAAAGCACGAAGCCTGTACAAAAAGTAACATTACTTTCCATGCGCCTATGAACAAAATGCAAGGATTACCCACCATGGTGGACCGAAGTTCAACGCCGTTTCACCCATTTCAGAAATTGTGGTGGCTTTCGTTATAATTCCCTTAGCAATACAGCAGCTGGGACAAATTTTGTCTGAAACTTCTAACGGAGTAAGCAGTGCTGTAAAGTTATCAAAGCACCAAATGCTTGTGAATCAATTAATCACAACTGATTCGAAGCTCAAAAATACAACACACGAGCAGGCAAATCGCCTTAGGGGCGTCTCTCTGAATTCGGCCGGAATCAACAACGGAACAGCGGGCGGCAGGATCAGAAATAGTCAATAAAGCTATATTTCATATCGTTAGAACATGTGAAGGTTACGTTAAAAACTATGGCAAGAATTCGAAACGCTAATCGAGGTGACGGATTCCGCAGTTTTGCAAGGTTAATCTTCACAATGGGATACTAATGATTGTGCACCGGGAGTCATGAAAAGACCTTTTTGCGGAAACTAGATGAGATTATGTATCAACATCAAGCACTAACTGTAGTCCCACCACTAAACTTCTTCCAAACATGTTTTCGTCGTAATTGTTGTTGTCCCGAGACCGTCGCATCACAAGTAACCAATGCGGCAGCGCCATGTCTAGTTTTCCGGGAATCGAAAGTTCGATAATAGACGTCTGCTTTTAGTGACATCTATTTCTACTTTTATTCTATTTATTTTGGGATTTGACCCGATGTCGCATACAGTACTTTTGTTCCGAATTTCATAAATTTCATCGCTTTAAAAGCTCAGAGTGATTTTCAAATAAAACACCGGCAGCTAAATTTGAACATTGCGTTTTCAAAAAGATCTGTTGATACTGTGGCTCACCTTGATTCTGGAACAAAGACTGTCTTTGACTTTGAACGTTTACCACCAACCAGATGACTCTTGCCAGCTTGCGAATGTGATGGAAATAGGTGAGTCACAGCATTGATAAATTCACGCAAGGTATAGTAATCTCGAATCAGCTGGATCTTTGACGTTATTCACGGACGATAACCTTTGAAGCAGCACATTTTAGATAATGAACTTCCCATGCCAATGCATTCATTAACTTCTAGCGCATGGAATATCGTTTGAATAGGTGCAGCAAAATTCTCATATACACGGAGGTTCACGACGTATCAATTTGAAAGTACTGTACACTATATACAGTATAATATCAAGTTGGGTCCTTTTTTATCACACTCGATGTCCCTTCCTGAGATTTTCCAGCTATTGGGCAGGTGTCACCTGATGACCTGATTATGTGAAAAGGTTTCAGGGATTACACAGTACAACAGCTCAAGTTTAGTCAAATTGTTTCCAGCCAGGTTATTGATTTGGAAGGGCTACCTTCTGGAAATTAACTGAACCAGGTCGAGACAAACAGTGAACAAATTACTGCACATGGAACGATTTAAAAAAACAGATTCGATAAATAACTCCTCCAAAAATCTAAGCGGCGGAACACGTCAAGTAAGATGAGTTTGGCACTTTAATTGGGTAAGTCAAGGTTTACTTGAGTAAGCTGGTTTTCAAATCTTGAAGAATTTCTATTTTCAAGTGCGCAGTAGAGAAATTAATTAGGGACGGAAATACGTGGGTAGGATTGGTTCGCATAGCTTAGAAGGTATGTAAAGCTCCGTGGTTAGCACATCATCTTCTTCGGAAAAAAAAATCAAATACTGTACAACAGTAGAGTATGTTATTATTTTTCACATGATGCATCATGTAGTTGACCAAGTCGTCATAACAACAAATGTATCAACATTATGCCAACACCGAAAAGGAGGATTTTTTGCCGAAGATTTTCTTCTATTTTAACAAAAGGATTGCACAAAGGAACCCTCACAGAACAACCTTCACGCATAATGGTCATTTTTGAATAACATGATATGGTAACCAAAATCTGCAAGCAGAGCAGCTGCTGCGTAGCAGAATGACCTGAATTTAAAATGTGGAGGATGTTAATTGGGAGAACAATGGAGTCACACAGAATACTGTACAGTACAGTATTTATAATCCATGTCACAGCAAAGGCTCCTATACTGTACTGTGGGACCTTAGCAAACATATATCCATGCTAGAAAATATGCCACCTGGTAAACTTGATGCTTGTACTGTTCCTACACTGCCTTATAAAAACACTGATCCAGCTAACCATCATTTATTCGTAGCAAAACAAAGATTTCCCATAACCCTTCCACAGATGAGCCAGGATGTATTTTCAACATGTTCAACCCAAAAGCAAATAAATGAATAAACAATCTCAAAATAGTGTCCAGGGCAGAGCCAAGATATATTTTCTACTTCTACCCGAAAGCAAATAAATATAAAGATCTCAAAATAGTGTACAGTACGTCCAAAGGAGAAGTACAGGATTTTTCCTGTTGGGGCAAAACCATTTTTTATAAAAAAAAAAAAAACTCCTGAATAGGGCGCGTTCCTACCCCAGGATTCAAGGATTTGAAAAAAAAAATTTGGTTGAGTCCTCCTCGAGATTCTTGAACTTTGGCCACTGCTTGAGCAGAGTGGCCAAATGTCTGTGCACGGAAAAAAAAATTTGCTAAGCTGCAGGATGGAAAGAACCTTTTTTCCTATAGGAATTTAAAGAACAATGCTGGGATTTTTCAGAAAAGGCAATCTTGTTAAAAAGTAGCTTAGCATTTTCTTTCTTGGGACAAGTCATGAGTCATGACATACAGTACATGATTATACAATTTCATCGAAAAATGTTTCCATCCTCTGCTGCTGTCTTTATAATGACACAAAGCATGCATTCTATGGTTTTGTTTATGCGATCTTACCTATACCCTCTTCTGATGCAAGCGTAGAACATGTGTGAAGGACCGAAAGATACGGGTGGTGGGACTCTCTCTCGCTCATGTCCGGAGTGTTTTCGACGGCATGTGAATGGCCACCACAGGTTCCTCATCTCCATTTGCCCTCGTCCGCTTAGGGTGAGGTCATATCTGCGGCTGCGCTCAAGCAGGGGGAGGGGGGGGGGAGCTGAGGCACGCGACCCGTTCTTTTCCCTGCACACACACACACACATATATACGCCTCTACGCCCATTGGTGTCGCGGTGCTGAGCGCAACTCCACCCTCATGCACGAAGCAACGCCTTCCTCACGGGGGACGCTTCGGCCTCGGATTGGACGAGTAACAAACAAACGAGGGCTGCCTGCGCCGGCTGGATCATGCCCTCATCCCATCCGTAAGAACACGGCGTTGTGCGTGTGCACATGGTGGGGGTGGTGGCCGCGAGGAAAAGGAAAGCAGCGCGCGCAATGTGGGTGTGTGTGTATGTGTGTGTGTGTATGTTGTATTGGACGAGGGAAGAATCTCATTCTCCGGGTCTGTGCATCCGTTCGCTGCTGCCGAGTTCGGGCCGGATTCCCGACTGAGACGCCGATCGGTCGACACCGTGTAGCTTTAGCTCACTCAGCTGTGCAAGTGCGGAAGGTCAGCTAGTATAGTCCTCACGCGTTCGGATACGACTTCTTCCCCTTCGACTCTCGTTGTCCTGAATCTCGTTTCGATTCGCACGATTCAATTCCCTGCTTTTTTTTTTTTTTTTCAAACCAATCATCTACATATTCGTGATAACGCAATTGAGTGTTCAACGCGTCGATGAGTGGCTTCTAGACGTTTTAGTTTGAAACCTAGATGCAATTTATTGAACGGGTGATGGTTTTGTGAAATCGACTTTTCGGCTGTAGTATTAATACCGTAAGAAAAAGCTACGATCGTCCGGGATGATGAGCCGAAGCCCGCTTCCCTGGGTTCATGTAAATTTATGGAGCATTGATTGGTCAATAAATTCAGAATGGCCTGGCGACGCAGTACAGTAGATACAAAACTTTGCTAAAAATACTCTTCTGCATAATAATGCTGTTTCCTGGATAATTATCAAAATGAAGGATTTGTACTGTATAACATTCGATTCCGATCACGAGTCGAGTAAACCTGAGCTTAGAGGACAACATCTCAATCAAAACTGACGCCGAGATGCCGTGCAAAAAATTGCTCAATTTTGTTTACATTACAGTGATTCAAGCGTCTACATTTTTGAAATAACTCTGCAAGATTTCGAACGTGATTCGAAGAAACTGATTTTTCAATGAGCAGTTCTGGCGAATTTATATTTCGTGGTTGATTTAATTTCCAGCTTCGAGTTTGACGAGTGATTTTGACGAGTGATTTTTAATATTAATACAGCACAATACAGTATTGTTATTTCAAGCGTTTCTTTCTGTTTGACAGCAGACTAAAATGTATTGTACTCTAATCAGAAACTGGACGAGTTTTGCTCCATTTGTCTTCGCTACAGAAGGACATACAGTACATTATTAACTGCTTAGTAAAATTTAGCTTGAATATTGCTTTGGACAACAATACAACAATAAATGCTTGACTTTGAAAAATAAAATAATAGTACAGTACTCTACTATAATTTAAAGTATAATGGCTCTAATTGATTAAAACTGTATTGGAATATTTGAGCAGCCTCACATTGTTTACCTCTGACCAACGGATTATCCTTTGCTGATGCTCTTCGAAAATGCCGGAATTTCCGTGACCGTAATGCATGATGTAGTATAATTTCATCGTGGAATTCCTGAGTAGAGTTGATAAATACTGAAAGGAAAAAATATTCGATTACTTTGTGCATCTGCTTGACTAAGAAATTGAAACGGTCATCATCAGTTGAGTTGATCAGGGTTAATTCGCAAAAAAAAAAAAATTAGGGGAAATTTTCATGGCATGTTATTTATAATTTATGAATTACTTGGTGAAAAGAGTGAACGAAGGTTTATTAATGGGTAAACCATTTGGGTCGGTTTCTTTTGCTTTCGTGTTTCATCCTATTGTTTCTGCTGTTTTCCTCGGTGGTTTCAATCAGGGAACTGTTTGAATTTCGAAAAAAATACTGCATCTTGACGATGTCCCAGGATTGAAATGCTTCGTTGAAATCGTCGACACTTTGGAAGAAGAAAGAGGGAACCGGAAGTCGCGATTCGGCGACTGTGTCGGGGGCATCGGAGCCTGAATGAACTGAGCGCAGTCGACTCGAGCAGCGAGTCAAAACGTCGCGACAAAGTTGTCTATTGTGTTGGACTGTGAGTGCAGAAAACAGAAGCGAAGCTGAATTTTGAAGGCATTATTAGGCTTCCCGAGCCTAACATGACTGTAACCAACCTCGGCATGATGCCATCAGCCTGTTTCTCGACTTACCCTTTCCAAGGTGAGACCTTCGTTTGCTTAAAAATAATTTAAAATATGTGCTTTAAAATAAGCGTTGCTTTAAAATATGTGCCCTACGGATCAACTGTAGGGCCTCCCCTTGAAAATTTCAAGGGTTCCGCGGCTGATTCAGGAAAATTTGAAAATCATAAAAAATAAATTCAAGTTTAGTCAATTGGCATTTTCACACATTGGGGACTGCAGAATATCCCGTCAATTACAATTTAATCCAAAAGTTCCTCTAAGCCAGTTTGAAAATTGGTCAAGTAGCAATCGCGCTAACCACAAATCTTGTCATAACAAATTATTCCTTGCAACAAATTTATTTTTTAGGTCTCCCTGCCCAATATATGTATATTATGCTGA